TTAGAATATACTCCTACTCCCCCCCTCAGGCCGGCAGATAGCGGGCGCATCCGGGTGGTCCCATCCTAACCTGTAAAAAACAATACAAAATCATCATTTTTCTTATTTTTTCCTCTCGGCATGGACGTCCTGTCGTCCACGGCGATAATCCATTGCAAAAAATACCACAAAGAGCACACGCGCGCGTTCATGTCATAATCCTACCGAACATCGTGTGTTTGCAAGCATTTCAACATAAAAACATCAAAAACCCAATGTTTTTTTCTTTTTTTACAAAAATTGTACAAATTTCCCGCCAGGGCTCCCTTGCTGAAATCATAGGAAAACCATAGGAATCTTAAGAATTCTGTCAAATCCGACGATTTCACGTTATCGCGCGGTGCACTCGCGATGCTCTGTCATGCACCCAGGCCGCGAATCCTGTGCAAAAAATACAACAAAGAGCGCACTCGCGCGTTCATGTCAGAATCCTACCGAACACCGTGTGTTTGCAAGAATTTCAACATAAAAACATCAAAAACCCAATGCTTTTTCACAAAAATGCTTTTGGGTGTCCTGTCAGACCGTCGGGCTTCCTCCGGCCACCTCTGGCTTCCTGCGGTGTACCGGGCCATTCTCGACTCGTCTGGCAATGCGTGCGCGGCATTCAACACGCGCTCGCCAGTTCCCGTCGGCAACCGCCATCGCGGCCGCATCAGCTGTACCAAACCGGCTGGCCGGTGTGACTTCGGCCCCCAGTTGTGCCAGTTTTGTTTCTTATGTTGTTGGAGGGCGGGTGGGACTGGGCATGCCATGCTTGACTCTCTCGAGCTGGCTAGCTTGACTCCTACTCCTACTCCTACTCCTATCCTTATTCCTTATTAGAATATACTCCTACTCCCCCCTCAGGCCGGCAGATAGCGGGCGCATCCGGGTGGTCCCAGCCTAACCTGTAAAGAACAATACAAAATCAACATTTTTCTTATTTTTTCCTCTCGACATGGACGTCCTGTCGTCCACGGCGATAATCCATTGCAAAAATACCACAAAGAGCACACGCGCGCGTTCATGTCAGAATCCTACCGAACACCGTGTGTTTGCAAGCATTTTCAACATAAAAACATCAAAAACCCAATGCTTTTTCACACAAATTGTACAAATTTCCCGCCCGGGCCCTCTTGCTGAAATCATAGGAAAACCATAGGAATCTTAAGAATTCGGTCAAATCCAGCGATTTCACGTCATCGCGCGGTGCACTCGCGATGCTCTGTCATGCACCCAGGCCGCGAATCCTGTGCAAAAAAATACAACAAAGAGCACACTCGCGCGTTCATGTCAGAATCCTACCGAACACCGTGTGTTTGCAAGCATTTCAACATAAAAACATCAAAAAACCAATGCTTTTTCACAAAAATGCTTTGAGGTGTCCTGTCAGACCGTCGGGCTTCCTCCGGCCACCTCTGGCTTCCTGCGGTGTACCGGGCCATTCTCGACTCGTCTGGCAATTCGTGCGCGGCATTCAACACGCGCTCGCCAGTTCCCGTCGGCAACCGCCATCGCGGCCGCATCAGCTGTACCAAACCGGCTGGCCTGTGTGACTTCGGCCCCCAGTTGTGCCAGCTTTGCTTCTTATGTTGTGGGAGGGCGGGTGGGACTGGGCATGCCATGCTTGACTCGCTCGAGCTGGCTAGCTTGACTCCTACTCATACTCCTATTCCTACTCCTATCCTTATTCCTTATTAGAAAATACTCCTACTCCCCCCTCAGGCCGGCCGATAGGGGCCGCATCCGGGTGGTCCCATCCTAACCTGTAAAAAACAATACAAAATCAACATGTTTCTTATTTTTTCCTCTCGACATGGACGTCCTGTCGTCCACGGCGATAATCCATTGCAAAAATACCACAAAGAGCACACGCGCGCGTTCATGTCAGAATCCTACCGAACACCTTGTGTTTGCAAGCATTTCAACATAAAAAACATCAAAAACCCAATGCTTTTTCACAAAAATTGTACAAATTTCCCGCCCGGGCTCTCTTGCTGAAATCATAGGAAAACCATAGGAATCTTAAGAATTCTGTCAAATCCAGCGATTTCACGTCATCGCGCGGTGCACTCGCGATGCTCTGTCATGCACCCAGGCCGCGAATCCTGTGCAAAAACTACCACGCGGGCGACATGCGCGCGCGTCGCCGCGAGCGCATGCTCAAATCCTTTTAGAGTCGTCGCCGTCATTGGCACCGTCGCATGGACGTCCTGTCGTCCACGTCGCAAAATGCATAGCAGGAATGGGACGCGGCGCACACCCCGCGCCCGCCCATCCAATCCGTCCCATTCTAATCTGCAATAGACAATACACAGTTTTTGTTTTTCTTGTCAACATGGTCGTGCTGTCGTCACGTCGCAAAATGCGTGGCAGGAATGGGACGCGGCGCACACCCCGCGCGAAAGGGTGACATGTCGCTCTCGCCTCGGCGCCGCGCACCAACGTTTTTCCTCTCAGCATGGACGTCCTGTCGTCCACGTCGCAAAATGCTTGGCAGGAATGGGATGCGGCGCACACCCCGCGCCCGCCCATCCAAACCCCCCCTTTATAAAAAAACAATACAAGTTGGGGCCTTCAGGCTTCCTGCGGTGTACCAGGCCATTCTCGACTCGTCTGGCAATGCGTGCGCGGCATTCAACACGCGCTCGCCAGTTCCCGTCGGCAACCGCCATCGCGGCCGCATCAGCTGTACCAAACCGGCTGGCCGGTGTGACTTCGGCCCCCAGTTGTGCCAGCTTTGCTTCTATGTTGTGGGAGGGCGGGTGGGACTGGGCATGCCATGCTTGACTCGCTCGAGCTGGCTAGCTTGACTCCTACTCCTACTCCTACTCCTACCCTTATTCCTTATTAGAATATACTCCTACTCCCCCCTCAGGCCGGCCGATAGGGGCCGCATCCGGGTGGTCCCATCCCAACCTGTAAAAAAACAATACAAAATCAACATTTGTCTTATTTTATCCTCTCGACATGGACGTCCTGTCGTCCACGGCGATAATCCATTGCAAAAAATACCACAAAGAGCACACGCGCGCGTTCATGTCAGAATCCTACCGAACACAGTGTGTTTGCAAGCATTTCAACATAAAAACATCAAAAACCCAATGTTTTTTTTTCACAAAAAATTGTACAAATTTCCCGCCCGGGCTCTCTTGCTGAAATCATAGGAAAACCATAGGAATCTTAAGAATTCGGTCAAATCCAGCGATTTCACGTCATCGCGCGGTGCACTCGCGATGCTCTGTCATGCACCCAGGCCGCGAATCCTGTGCAAAAAATAACACGCGGGCGACATGCGCGCGCGTCGCCGCGAGCGCATGCTCAAATCCTTCCAGAGTCGTCGCCGTCATTGGCACCGTCGCATGGACGTCCTGTCGTCCACGTCGCAAAATGCATAGCAGGAATGGGACGCGGCGCACACCCCGCGCCCGCCCATCCAGTCCGTCCCATTCTAATTTGCAAAAGACAATACACAGTTTTTGTTTTTCTTGTCAACATGGTCGTGTTGTCGTCACGTCGCAAAATGCGTGGCAGGAATGGGACGCGGTGCACACCCCGCGCGAAGGGGTGACATGTCGCTCTCGCCTCGGCGCCGCGCACCAACGTTTTTCCTCTCAGCATGGACGTCCTGTCGTCCACGTCGCAAAATGCTTGGCAGGAATGGGATGCGGCGCACACCCCGCGCCCGCCCATCCAAACCCCCCCTTTTATAAAAAAACAGTACAAGTTGGGCCTTCAGGCTTCCTGCGGTGTACCGGGCCATTCTCGACTCGTCTGGCAATGCGTGCGCGGCATTCAACACGCGCTCGCCAGTTCCCGTCGGCAACCGCCATCGCGGCCGCATCAGCTGTACCAAACCGGCTGGCCGGTGTGACTTCGGCCCCCAGTTGTGCCAGCTTTGCTTCTGATGTTGTGGGAGGGCGGGTGGGACTGGGCATGCCATGCTTGACTCGCTCGAGCTGGCTAGCTTGACTCCTACTCCTACTCCAATTCTTACTCCTACTCCTACTCCTCCTCCTCCTCCTCCTCCTCCTCTCCTCCTCCTCCTCCTCCTCCTCCTCCTCCTCCTCCTCCTCCTCCTCCTCCTCCTCCTAGGTGGCTCCGCAGCGAGGCGCCCGCGCAGCCGTCTTGCCCGCGGCGGCGCGCGCGGCCAGGCCCGCGCGATAGCAGAGCCCCCAGCGCCGCAGGGGCGCGAGGAGGCCAGGAGGAGGACGAGGCGAGAGCGCTCTCCTGCCTGGCACAGGCGAGCGCGCAGAGAGCGCGCAGACGCTCGGCTGGCGCTCCGCGCCCGCCGCTTCCAGGAGGCCCTGAGGTCACACCACGGCAGCTGCCCACCAGCCATGGGCCGCCAGGATTACGTGGTCTGCAAGAGCTGCGGGGAGTGGTGGTGGACCTCTCGCCTGGAAGGGCTCCAGTTCCGCTGCGCCACATGCAAGTCGGCGCTGCCGCGGCCCAAAGGTCCCAAGAAGCCACAGGAGACGGCAGAGAGGGCCGGCGGGGCGGAGCGCCGAGAGGCCGCAGCTGGAGGGCGCAGAGCAGCAGGCAGCAGCAGCAGCAGCAGCAAAGGACACGGCACGAGCCAGGGACCAGAGCAGCTGGCGAAAGCGCTGTCGCTCATCACGACCACCCTCTCCAGCATGCAGTTGAAGGGCGGTGAGCAGATCACTCAGCAGCTGAAGGGAGCCGCGACAGCCCTGCAGGCCGCCAAGCCAGTGGAGCAGCCAAAGCCGAGGGCGGTGCGCATGGCGGCAGCGGCGAGAGCACTGCAGCAGGCGCAGCAGCAGTACCAGGACGCCTTCGCTGCGAAGCAGAAGGCCGAGGAGGCGGCCCAGCGGGCGCGCGAGGCCCTGGAGGAGCGCGCGGCGGCGGTCTTGCAGGCAGAGGCAGCATGCGAGGCCATCCATCTGGAGGGCAAGCAGGGCCAGAAGGCGGGTATCCTGGAGCAGCTGGTCACGGGCAACATCGACCAGCTGGCAGAGGGCCAGCTGGCGGAGGACATCGGCAAGGAGTTCGATCTCGGCGAAGACGATCTGGACGAAGAAGGACTCCGACAGGTGGAGGAGGCTAAGAGGCAAGTGATCAAACAGATGCAGGACAACGCTCGTCAGTTCCAAGGGCACCTGCGCGACCACATCGCGAAGGCGAAGGCGGCGGCGCTGGAGCAGCGGCGCACCATCGCACAGGAGGCCAAGAAGAGGAAGCTGACGGCAGTAGGAGCGGAGACCCAAGGCGGCGCAGCAGCAGCCCCCGCCGCAGCGGCGGCCGCAGCGGGCAGCGCAGGCACCGCAGGAGTGGCGGCGCCACGCCCCGCTGAGCAGGCCCCCGCTCAGGACGAGGCGGCCGCCTACCTCGAGCGCAAGCGCGCGGAGGCAGCAGCAGGAGCTCCAGCCCAGGGCGAAGGCGGCCAGGGTCCGCCAGCGCCCCGCGGCTAGGAGCCCGCGCGAGGGCGACGGCGGAGGAATGTTGGCGACGCCGCCGCCCAGGAGCGCACGCTGTTCTGCGCCAACACCAGCACATGGGGGCCCACAGCCAGGCTGTGGCTGATGCGACAGGGCATCGAGGGGAGAGGCTATGACATGATAGCGCTACAGGAGACGCATGTACCACATGCGCAGCTAGACGACGTGGAGAATGACCTTGTGAAGATGGGTTACAAGGCCACATTCACGGCGGCAAGAGACAGTTCACGCTCGGCGGCTGGCACACAAGGAGGCACAGCGGTGATCTCCAAGGGCCATCTCCGAGTCACCAGCTTCAGACACCTGGCCCAGGCTCGACAGGTCTCGAATGCCACAGCGGACATTCGACGAGACGTTGGCCGAGAACGTGGCTGGGATATGTGTGACTGGACACCCACTCAGTGGCATCTGAAGGGCTCCACTCTCACGGTTGTCAGCTTTTATTTGGATTGCAACAGATCACTGGCCGAGGGCATCAACAGCCGCAAGCTCACCGCGCTCGGGGCGTTCCTCCGAACCATTCAGGGAGCGTGGATTGTGTGCGGCGACTTCAACTCCGACCCCTCGACCTTTTGGAACACGGGGTGGCCAGAGGTGATGGGCGCGGCCGCAGTCCTCTCGCTCCCAGAGGACCAGCACACCTGCTTCCTCGCGGGACAGGAGCCGTCGCACATCGACTTCGCGCTGGTCAACGAGGCGGGCAGCAGGCTAGTCTCAGGCGTCGAGGGAGTCTACGACGTCCCGTGGAAGCCGCACATTGGCCTGAAGTTCACCATTCGGGGACAAGGGGTCCCCACGCAGTGCAGGACGCTAGGCCTACCCTTGGCCTTTGCGCACCCGCCGAGGCGAGGCAAGGGCCCCAGTCCCACCAGCAAGAGGTCGAGGAGGAGGCTGCAGGCGCGCGCGCAGGCTGAGGCAGCAGCGGGCGCCGCGCCGCGGCCACCGCCCCAGTCCACCGCGCCAGGAGGCACACCTGAGGACGCACCTGGGAGGAGCAGGCAGAGAGAGGAGCAGCTCGACGACGCGAGGTGGGAGGCGCTCACACCCGTCGCGGGCTGGACTCACTACCCGTGCGCTGACGACACCGAGCAGCACGGACACCGGATGGACCAAGAGGAGATCGACGTCTTCGCCGAGCTTGAGTGCATGGAGGATGACGGCGTTGGCTCGCCATGGTCGCAGCCACCAGACGAGACCTACGCGGACGGCGAGGCGAGGCGTCAGTACGCAAATCCAGCGGCGGTGCTCCTCGAGCCGTCAGCTGGTCCATCGTCGCCATGGACGCAGCCACCAGCTGAGTTCCACGCGGACGGCGAGCTGAGGTGTCAGAACGCGAAATCCACGTCGGTGCTCCTCGAGCCGACCGCTGGTTCACGTCGCCACGGCAGCTCGACCAATTGTCAGAGTTTCGCCCAGTGTCAGAGCGCAAATCCAGCGGCGGTGCTCCTCGAGCCGCCAGCTGGTTCACCGTCGCCACGACCCGCTCATGTTCGCGGCCAGGATCCGACGGGGCGTCTGAACGCAAATCCCGCGGCGGTGCTCCTCGAGCCGCCCGCGGGTTCAACGTCGCCACGTGCCGAGTGCTTGGGCCAGGACGCCGACCAGCCCAGGGCGCAGGACACGACGGAGATGGGCGACCTCTGGACCATGGCGGAGATGGCGGCAGAGCCGAAGGCCCAGCAGCAGATCCCCACCTACATCTCACAGAGCGCAGCCTTCGAGGCGACTGAGGAGGAGGCCACAGCGCTGGGCAAGAGTTACTCGGCGGTCATGGACACACTGGAGCAGTTCTACTGCATGGCGTACCGCATCGCGCCGCAGGACCGTGCCAAGTTTTGCGGGCGAGGTGACCCCAGGCAGTTTGTCGTATGCAAGGGCAAGGAGAGGCACGAGAGGAGAACGAGATATGCAAACCACACAGCGGACTGGTGGAGCAGGGCGGAGAGCACGCTCTCGCTCCTCGCCAGGCTCCGCAAGAGGAACAAGGCGCAGGCGCAGCAGCAGCATTTGGCAGCGGCTGGCAGGCACCTCGCCTACGACGGCATGCCGCAGACCAGCGCGTCCGCGTCAGAGACGGCCAAGCTGCACCGCAAGCTGTGGCACACGAGGCTGATGGACCTGAACCAGGTCAACACCGAGGTGATCGAGGGCATGGCAGCACAGGCAGAGGAGGAGAAGAGATACGCGATCAAGAGGGACATGAGGGAGAACTCCAGGGCGTTCGGGCTGTGGCTGGCCTCAGCGGAGAAGAGTGTTGGCACGCTCCACCGCATCACCAAGCCGCCGCCCAGGAGGGAGGAGGAGCTGATCACCGACGGCGGCGTCACGGACTGCCCGACCGCCATCGTGGACGAGAAGGCTCGGGAATTCCAAAGGATCTGGAGATGCACGAGGCTGCCGCACGAGCAGCACGCGTCCATCCTGCAGACCCTCAGGAGCTCCGCACGAGGCACCGACGAGAGCGTGTGGACCCTTGAGGACTTGGACAGCGCGCTGCGGGGCGAACCTGACCGAGGCAAGGGCGTGGACGTGCTCACATGCTCGGACATCAGGAGGCTCCCACCCGAGGGCCGCATGAGGATCGTGGAGCTCTTCAACGAGTGCGAGCGGCAACTCGCGTGGCCATGGCAGCTGCTATGCGAGATAGTGATGCTCACGCCGAAGCCCGCCAAGGGCGACCGCGCCCTCGCGCTGCTGCCGCAGATGGTCAGGTGCTGGGAGCTGCTTCACAGACCTGAAGTGCGGCGCTGGGCAAGGACACACCAGAGAGGCTGGGACGCAGCAGTGGAAGGCAACAGCTGCCTGAGAGAAGCGATGACCAGGGTCATCGGGGACGAGTGCTGCGAGGCGCTCGAGGTTTTTCACGGCAACCTGCTGGCGGACATCGAGAAGTTCTACGACAGTCTCCAGCTCGACTGCGTCATCGAGGCCGGCCTGCGCATGCACTTCAGGCCGCGCCCGCTGGCGATGATGCTCCTGCAGCACTCGGCGACGAGGATCATACGCTGGAAGGGCGCCTACTCCCTGCCACTGTGGGCCGACCGCTCGCTGCTCGCAGGATCGAGGCACAGCAACAGTTTAGCCAAGACTGTCGTGTACGTCATCTTGGCCAACTTGCTCGAGAGGTCGCGCGCGCTGCCCAAGCCGATGCCGAGGGCCTGGTTTGATGACATCAGCGTGCGCATCGTGGGCAGCGCGAAGGCAGTCGAGCAGGAGCTGACGGACACCACCATGGCGCTGAGGGACGAGCTTGAGGCACAGGGTCTTACGCTGGCGGACAAGACGGTGATCTTCGCAACCAGCTACAGGACGACGCGCGCGGTGCAGAGGGCTCTGCGCCAGAAGGGGCTCCAGGTTCAGGCAGTCACTGAGGGCAGGGACCTGGGCATCGACAGAGGAGCCAGAGGCACGCTGCGGCGCGCCACCCACAGGAAGCGCACCAGCGGCGCCTTCAGGAGATGCGGAGCCGTCGGCACCAAGCTGAGAAAGCTGGTGCTGGCCAAGAGGCGGGGAGTTCTCCACCAGGGACCCGTGGCGTCCTACATGTACGGCGCAACCGTGCACGGCATGGCGCCATGGGCGAGGCAGAAGGCGAGGAGGAGGTACGCTCAGGCATTGAGGAGGCCGTGGCCAGGACGCTGCCTCACCACCTTCCTGGCGCTGGAGGGCACGGACCCCGCAGCCACCGCAGTGAGGACGCAGCTGAAGACGTGGTTCGAGGTCTGGGCCCGCCACCCCGAGATCCGCAACCAGGTGAGGCGCGCCTGGCCGAGGATCTACTTCAGAATGCAGAGACTGGAAGCCAACAAGAGGTGGCAAGCTCGACGTGGCCCGCTGGCCAGCATGATACTCCTGCTCTGGGAAGTCGGCTGGGACTCCAGAGGGCCCGACACCTGGATCGACAGGAACGGCGACTACTGGAAGTTCGGCACGGAGGAGCAGGGAGGCGACTACACCGAGATTGTTGAGGCGTTCCTCGACGACCTGCAGGATCAGCTGTGGGAGCAGGCCGCGCAGCACCACAACGGCGCTGGCCTGGAGAGAGGAGCGGACGTCAAGGACCTGAAGCACCACCTCAGGATGCTGGCCAAGAAGGAGCGCTACGGCTACTACGGCGCGCTCCTAACCGCGGCTTGCGCAGGCACCTGGACGCATCGCCGCAAGCACGACACCTTCGGCGGCGCCGAGGCGAGATGCGAGTGCGGAGAGGCCGAGGATGACGTGCACCGCATCTGGGGCGCCTGCACAGCTAGGGAGGACAGCGAGGCAGTGAGGCGCAGCAGCGGCCTTACCAGGAGGGCGCTCGAGGGTTGCGAGACCAACCCCGCGTTCTGGCTTCGGGGCATCACCCCCAAGAGCTGGACCGTGCCGCCGAGATGCGACACCCTACCCGCAGAGCACCTCGTCGGCGCCTGCAACTCCGAGCGCCGCCTCCGCGCTGACGAGGGGCGAGAGCTCACGGCATGCGGGGACGGCTCAGGAGGCGAGTACAGCGCGGACGAGAGATACTGCAGGTGCGGCTGGGGCTGGGTGCTGCTGGGCGACGGCGACGAGTTCGAGCAGATCGGCGCACACTTTGGGCCTCTCCCAGGAGCTCGGCAGTCCAACAACCGCGCCGAGCTCTACAGCTTCCTGAGCTTCCTGCGCGCGACCGAGGGCAGAGTCACCTTCTGGACGGACAGCGAGGTCACGTGCACGGGCTGGGCTGCGCAAAGGGAGAAGACCCAGGGCCAAGGGCTCAGCAACGGCGACCTGTGGTTCCAGGTCGGTGAGGCGATTAGAGAGCGAGGAGGAGACAGGAGCGACATCACCATGAAGCACCTGAACAGCCACATGACGGAGCACGAGGCGATGGCGAAGGGCGTGCCGAGGCGAGTCTGGGCGGGCAACAAGGCAGCTGACGAGTACGCAGAGGCAGGAGCTGCGACGCACGCGATCAGCGACTCGGAGATGAGCTGCTACGAGTGGGTGCGCGCCACGGCCCATTTGGTGAGAGAGCGCATCGCGGCCACCACCGCTGCAGTGCTCGCCAGAAGGCCGCCCGACGACAAGGAAATGAGAACGGCAAGAAAGAGGCTCGCGCAGCAGAGGCGTCAGGACCGCCTCTTGAAGCGCGACCTGCTCGGCGGCGAGGCGACCAGGAGACCACCGACGTCGCACATCCTGGAGCGTGACAAGCGAGGCACAGGATGGAGGTGTCAGCATTGCAGGGAGGCGGTCAGCTGCAGCACGGCGACAGCGACCATCCGCGACTGGATGGAGAAGCCGTGCGGGGGGCCACCTCCGCTGAGAGCCATCACCATCACGAGGTACGGAGTGGAGTCGCACCCGTCACACCTGCTGAGGAGGTTGCTCGACCAAGACCGCTGGTTCTGCGAGCGGTGCGGAGGAGCGACGACGGAGCTGATCGCCGCGAAGCTGCAGGAGCCCTGCTGCGGTCACACAGCCTGCAGCAGTGGACACTACAGGCTCGAGGGCTGGCTGAGGCAGGCCGCCAAGGAGGGCGGAGCAGGACAGCGGGCAACACCACACGAGACCTACGCGGACGGCGAGCTGAGGGGTCAGATCGCAAGTCCAGCGGCGGTGCTCCTCGAGCCGTCAGCGGGCTCACCGCCGCCAGAGACGCAGCCACCAGTCGTGATCTGCGCGGACGGCGAGCTGAGGTGTCAGAGCGCTAAATCCATGTCGGTGCTCCTCGAGCCGGCCGCTGGTGCTCGTCGCCACTGCAGCCCGTCCCATGGCCAGGGCTTCGCTCAGGGTCAGAACGCAAATCCAGAGGCGGTGCTCCTCGAGCCGCCAGCGGCGTTCCCCGAGCTGCCCGCGGGTCCAGCGTTGGCACGATCGGACGAGCAGGTGAGGAGGGCACGCACCGATGAGGAGCAGCTGCAGGAGGCGCAGCGTCTGCTGCAGACCGCAGCGAGGCTGGCCAACACCAGCGTGCAGCCCCAGCACGACACCGTGCAGTACGACACGCAGGCGGAGGACCTCGACGTCGCCGAGGCAGAGGCAGCGAGGGCGAGGGCCATGCTGGAGGTCGAGAGGGAGAAGGCAGCTGTGCAGCGAGGCGAGAGGCCTCGGCAAAGGAGAGCCGCGCGAGAGGCCCCTCTGCCTCTCGCAGAGCTGAGGCGCCTGCTGGAGGGTGGCGAGCAGCGGGAGAGGGGACCTGCGCGTGCCTCGCGTCAGTCGGACACGCGAGGCGGAGGCGAGAGGATCCAGCCAGCTGGCGGCGGTGGCCTGACGGCGGTGCGGTGCGAGGCACGCGGCGAAGCGGCAGCTGGACTGCCTGCAGGTCTTGTGGGGCTTGCACCTCGCGCTGATCCAGGGTGTGGTTCAGGCCGTGAAGCCCGTGCTGCGGCCGCCCCGCCGCCCCGCGCAGCTGCGGTGCCGCCAGAGGAGGACGGCGGTGCCGCAGAGGAGGCAGGCTGCGGCCGCCAGAGGAGGACGGCGGTGCCACAGCTGCGGCCGCCAGAGGAGGAGGGCTGCGGAGCGCAGCTGCGGTGCCGCAGCTGAGGCGGGCGCCGCCACGCCGCCGCGCGCGCCCGCGCGGCGGCCGCCACGACGCTGGCGTCACGAAAGGGTCGAAAGGGGCTCCTCCTCCTCCTCCTCCTCCCCTCCTCCTCCTCCTCCTCCTCCTCCTCCTCCTCCTCCTCCTCCTCCTCCTCCTCCTCCTCCTCCTCCTCCTCCTCCTCCTCCCCCGGCCCCCAGAAGGCCCCCTTGGGCTCGCCCGGGCTTCTCGGGAGGCCGTCGCCGGCCCTGTTGGAACTCTCGCGGAGGGGCAGTCCTGGGCTCAGGTCGGGCATGTCCCCCTACAGGCGGACTTTGGACGAAAAGTCAAAGATACCTAGGAAAATACTCGAAGGATGCTCAAAAAGGGTCGAAAAGTCGAAAAGTCATTCCGGTCAGTCACTGTCCCTGAGCGCGTGGCTGAAGTGAGGTTATGCGGTGCGGATTGTTGTTGTTGCTGCTGCTGCTGTTGATGTTGTTGTTGTTGGTGGTGGTGGTGGCATTGGTTTTGGTATTAGTCTTGGAATCAATAATACTAGCATTGGTATTACGATTAGTGGTGTTATGGTTGCTGATGTAGTTAATGTTGTTCTTGATATTGTCGTTGATGGTGGTGGCGTTGTGTTTAGTATTAATGGTAGTACGAAAATGATACCACCACTGCTATTACTGTTAGTGGTGTTGCTGTTGTTAGTTTAGTTAATGTTGTTGTTGATGCTGTCGTTGTTGTTATTGTTGCTGGTGGTGGTGGCGTTGGTTAGTATTCGTACCATTAATATTAATAAGCATGAATAACACTAGCATTGTGGTCACTATTAGCGGTATTGCTATTGCTGTTAAAGTTAGTACTGTTGTTGTTGCGGTTGGTGGTGACGTTGGTGTTGCTGCTGGTGTTAAGGTTGTTGCTGTTGCTGCGTTTGTTGTTGTTGGTGGGGGTGGTGTTGCTGTTGGTGTTGTTATTGTTGCTGCTGTCG